CGGGCTCTTCCCTCTTCTCCCCTCCACCCCGCCCGAGGCAGCAGCCGCGAGAGCAAATCCGCAATAGGCTGAGAGTGCGTGAGGAGGGGGGCAGCAAATTCGCATCGCCCAATGGCCGTTTATCAATAAAATGTAAAACGCCTAAGGATCAAAACTTCAACACAGAATAATGCTATCTCCGCAAGCCCGTGACTCAAAAGATGCCTATTCTGGCTACCCCAAAGAGTGCTTAGCCGTTGCAGTAGACGCTCGGGGGACCAAAGCGCTAGCAACCAACACAACGACCCTGCAAGGTAGGTCGCGATTAACTCGCAACTTGGAGAGAGGAGGGCGAAAGCCGCTTGGCGAGTTGCGGGCAGCGACAAGGCTCGAACTGGGGGACTCCCTGAATCTTGGTTCAGCTTCGTAGCAGCAATCTTACGGGATTAAATGCGGGAGAGAGGGGCGTTACAGAAAGTTTGGTTGCAACTTATTCAATGTAGCGACATTACAAAGAAGGGGGACTTTTAAAAAATGTGCTTGATTGAAGCTGATGATGAGAGTGACCAAGAGGGGAGGAGTGGGCTGAGTGAATCATTACTGGCAGCAATGGGTCTCCCTTATATTATCTGGGTTGCGACAGGGCCCTTAAAACAGACCAACTTACTGCTCCTATCTATGTTTATTGGGAAATAACAGGCTATAAAATGATTGTCATGCACCCCAGCAGTTACTTGTACTGTTGTGGCAAAATAATGAAAGCTTCTTTTCCAGGCAAAAAGTGTGCCTGGAAAAATAAATGAAATTTTGGGTCTTCCGATTTGGGCAGATCCTAAATGGAAACAGACGAGTCCCAGTCGACGCGGATTTGCCCCGAAGCTGAACAAAAACAAACCTGAATCTCAATCTTCCCGAAGGTTGGTGAGCAACTGGGAGATTCCACTTTCGGAAAGGATGAATGAGTGAACGAGTGGGGTGTTGTTTGGGGGACAGGCACTTCTGACTTCATGATTTTAGCAAGGCTTTGCAGGGAGGGTGATCTAAGCGAGCATACTCGAAATGCTTTTTGTTAGGTTCTGCTCCCAATCGCTGGAATATTGAAAGAGCTTTGGTCTGGTATTCTAGATTCTGGATCCTTGGATTAGTGGTGGCAGAATTCCTTGGAAAAAGCTGGATATTGCCCTTCTTCTATTCCTCTACATCCAGCAGCCACCATTGCCTTTTGGTGTTTTCTGTGAGTTTGGTGCCAAATGAGCAGAACTTAAAAAAAAAAAAAATCTTAGACTTCATTAATCATACCTCCCAAGGAAAGCATGGAAGCTAGGGAGATGTGCCTATTTATTTATTAGATTTGTATGCCACTGAATCTTCCAAGACTCCCAACAGCTAACAACAGTAAAATCATACAATACAAATAATGAAAATGTCATCTCTCTCTCTCTCTCTCTCTCTCTCTCTCTCTCTCTATCTCAACACAGAAGAACCATCAGAAAGTAAACACACAATTGGTGAGAATTCATTGGTCCCCAAATGCCTCCTGGAAGAGCTCCCTTTTAACCAGCTTCCAGGAGGGAGCCATAGAAGGAGTTAGTCTGGTTTCCAGGGAGAGGCTGCTCCAAAGTAGGGGGGCATTATCAAAAAGGATCAACTGTCTCAGCTCCCCTCACCTCATGAACATGGTGCAGCACTCACAGTTTTCTCCTGGAGGGAATGCCTTGGATGAATGGACTCTGGTCAGAGAAGGCAGTCCTGCAGGTACCTGGGTTGTATGTCATTTTCATAGCAGTAGGAAGATACTTGCTTCCCTTTTTAGAAAACCTTAGCTGGATAAAGTATCTAAAAAATTTAAGTGAGGCCACGTGACATCGGCTCTTCCATGTATGAATTTATTTAGGAGAAAACATACACACCCTTTCATGATAACAAGTACATCAAAGCCATTGAAAGGTCAGAGAATACTTAATTCTGTAATGCATATATTACATGCCATTTCTTCCCGCCTTTCTTCTTAAATCCAGCTTCTCAAAAATCAGACTATTTCTTCCCCCAATATAAGGTGTGTGTGTGGGGGGGGGGAGCTTTTTTATTTTGAACCTAACATTGCATTTGAACCCGTTTTCGGTGCCATGGTTTGCAAATGAAACTAGTACTTTTCACTGCTGAATAATCCCAACTAACATCTACGCATTTTGGATTAGGGAGAAAAATTGCGCCCAGACCTGGGTTATTATGGGAGTGGTTGGTTACTTTGTTGGCCAGAGAAGATGGAAATGCCACACGTCATTTTAGAAATTCATTGTCAACCTGTTCCTCAGACAAGGCAGCCAAGCAAGGCAAAATGTTGCTGAAGATCAGATGTGGGCTTCTTTTCCTCACTAAAATATCACAGACTAGCCCAGTAGCATTGCTTCCTCAATTGCAGCAGCAAGTGGAGTTTCCAACCTAAGCCCCTGACTCAAGAGGAATAATATCCTAATTCTTGTATTATCTAAAGAGAACATCTTACATATGCCTCCTTCCCACTTAGTCTGGCTTCTTGGGAATGGGTAACGGAGAACGCAAGGGAATGATGTTTAGGAAGTGATGCCAGGTTGAAAGGCAATAGATATCTATGATAATGGAAGCTCCCTGGTCCCTATAGAAAAAAAACCATTTAATTATTTGAGATAAGTATGATGGTTGTAGTTTATTGCTGGACACACACAAATGGCCTTTTGAAATTCCCAACCAAATTTGCGGGCCAAGTCTGGGCATTGCAAGACTGAAAGAGGAGAAAGTGGACATGTCCAGAGTTACGTATTTTTCTTAATCTCCATCCACTGATTTTTCATGACTGGCTCATTTTCTAACTTTATCCCTCTTTAAAATTAATTTTAATATAATAACATTGCCAGGAGCAGAGGGAAGGTGGGGGGAAGGAAGACTTAGAAAAGTTTAGGGGCTACAAATGTCCCCAGGCTTCAGGTTATGCAGCTATAATTTATCATATGGGGTTCACAGATAAAGAACTTTGGGCAGACAAATCAGAGAATTAAATAATACTTTAGAAAGTGTAGTTTTTCTAATGTCTGGTTTAATTTATTACAAGAGCTATACTTTTAACAATGCAACAGGGGTACCTTCAAATTCCAGCGAAGTTTCTATATTTAAAAATAACAGCTTTGAGGTTGGCTGACATAGTGCATATTCAGTGGACCATATCTGATACAGACCCAATCATCTCTGGAGTTGTGTCACCAACTCAGTAGGAAATTTCTGTAGTACAGTGATGCATTTATTTACTTATTTATTCTACCATATTTGTAGACGGCTCCTGTCAAAAAAGATGCTAGACATCTGGGTTTTTCCCTTGTGGTTCTGCCCCATTGATTCTTTTAAAAGGAAGGGGAGAAGGGTTTTTTTTTAGCACCGAAAAGGTCTGAGTTTCATAATCAACCTGAAGTATAGCACATCGTTCTGAGAAACTCCCCAGCCGCCATTAGTGTAGGAAATTTTCAAAAAGCAAGAGAAACAGCTGGTAACCAGCTGTACTTGGAAGACCAATTTCAGGGCACTGACGCTGCTGAGGTTTGCATCAAAGAGAAGCTAAGAAAATAAACAAAGCAATGGTTTCAAGGGAAGTAGAGGCTTTATAAAACTGGTGTAGCATGAAGTATAGATCAGCGTATGGAAAGGGCTTTATTCTTTTTTTAATTATTCAGTTTTATTTCATCTCTTTCTTCTTATTTTTAACTTCTTTTCCAGACAAGAATCTTTCCAAGGCAGCTTTTATAGTAAGGCAGTATCAGCACAGAATCAAATTATATGGTATACCAACAATTTTAAATAAAATCAGATTCCTGTGTAAACACAGATAGTTTAAAACTATCTACATAACATACTCTTTTGTGTAAGTTTTGTATATTGTCCTCTCAGCGCTGTGTATGTGATTAGATATTGAGCCTATAAGAGAGTTTCTCAGTGTACTACGGGTAGGTACAAACTATACAATTCATGGCCTCATGCTGAGACTTTAGAAACAGCCTAATTTTTCTGTACGACCCTGCCCCAGCTCTGATAGGGGCTATTGACTCTTTCTTGAGGGCAGGAAATAGGATGTCCTCCTCTACCAACCTCAGCCCCCCAGCAAGGCAACTTCTGCCCAACTTTTTCTACTATGCATGAGAGGTGATGTTTGGGCTGGCTCCGGAGGTCTTTTCTGATTGGCCTGCTGTGCTTCGTTTCATTTTAAACAACCACTCCAGTTGGTTACTATGTGCTCTGTCAAGAACATCCCGCCTCTCCAATCACTGCTCACTGCCCCGAATGGCTATTTTCTTTACAAGTTCAGCAGTGGGTGAAAAGCTGGGCATATGCGCTCTTTACTAGTACACTGAGAGAAGACCATTAAAAAAAACAAAAAACCTAGTACACTGAGAGAAAAGCAATACAGTGAAAGAATGGACTTGTCTTTGTTTTAACCAGATAAAAAATTTAAAAGTTCAGCTACTTTCTCCTTCCAGCTCAAGAGACAGGAAAAATGGTTAAACTAGGATACAAGCAGCTTCCCTTCCCTTCTCCTGGTCCAGGAGGGATAAAGAAGCAGAGACGTCCACCCACTTGGACTTGCACAACATCATGCCATCCTTGTGGCCAAAGAGGATTAAGCTGGCTTCATGTCCAGCTGTTTTACCAATAGGAGTTCAGCAGTTTAAAGCTGCAGTGCAGAAAAGCCCTCTGGAAGCCCTTCAGTCCAACTCAAGAGTCAACATCTGAAGCAAAATTTGGGAAAAAACGAAACCTCTATCGTTCCATAGTTTAGTGTGCCGAAGCCCAAGGGAGGGAATACGTGTAGGAGGATGGCACAGTATTCATACTCTGCTTGTGAGCTTTCTGGAGACATCTGTTAGGTTGCTATTGGAATACAATGGTAGACTAGACTCTGAATGCTGTTGGTCTGACATAGCATATCTCATCTTACCTTCTTCTAGTCCTGATTCCTGAATGGTATTTCCAGGATTGTTTTTGTTCAGAAAGTACCACGGATTACCGCTGATAACATCTGCAGTGGCAGCTGGAATGTCCTCAGTTAGACGGCTGACACTCAAACATGCCAAGTTCTGATGTCAGCCCTGGGCTGAAGATCAAGGTATTCATACTGCGGAAAGGTCAAAGAAGGCAGACAGATCCAGCCACAGATCAAGGCTCAGTTCTACAGCCAGTCCACAATACCCTAATAAATGAAATTCAGGAATTTCTGGATGGGATGTATTTCTATATTAATCGATCTGCGTGGCATTTTTCCATGCATTGAGACTTTGAGAACTGCCATTTACATTTGGCATCATGGTTTGGATCCACACTATGCCAGGAGCATTGTCAGAAAGTTAAATGGCAACCAAGGCCAGACTCCTGGCATTGCTCGCCATCCCAGGATAGGGTTTTCTTTTCTATCATACCCCTCCCCATCCTCTTTTTTCTAGGATAATAAATATGGCTACTTAGGTGGACTATGTAGGAGCGGTAGGGTGGTTGAGAAATGTTTTTAAATAAAATGTTAAAAATAAAATTGTGAAAATGCAAAGGAAATTAAAATAATACCAAAGGTCCTGAAGATGGTGTACCAGTTGATCTAGGCCTACATGTACATTTCATTTGTCCTGTTTTCATGTTTTTTAAACTCTACAGGGATGAGTAAACTTCTTTGAGTAAAGGCCCAAGTACAGCAGCAACTCTCTCAGGTTCCCACCCAGGCCGCCCTCCTTTTTAGGTCATTCCACCACCTCAAGCCAGGCTGATAAAATCTTCAAAGAAGGATTTAAAGGAAGTCTTTTTTCAGGTTTTTTTTTTTTTAAACACCTCCGGTTAGAGGGAAATGATTATTTTACACATGTTCAATAATGGATTATCTGTAGTAGTCAGTAGCTTTGCTTGGAGAAGAGACACTCAATATTTTCCCCTGTGGCATTCAGCTATCAAACAAAAAGTAGAAACAACTCAGGAGTTCTTCCTTGTATCAGTGAGTGCCCTTCTCTCAGTACCAATAGCAGGCGTGGGGCATGCAGTCTAGACTGGGTTTGTGGTGATGACAAAGTGTAAAACCCTGCTTTCCCTTTCAGAATTCTGATTTGGGGACCGTCCTACAGGGGTGATTTTTTTCTTAAACGCATATGTGTAGAATTGGTAAATATGTGAGTGGTGAGTCAACTTTGAACAGACAATGTTGGTTGCAGTATACTCTGTGACTCCCACTCCGCCACGAGCATTGCAGGTTCATGCTAGCCCCACGGCCAGGGACAAGGCTGCAGACGTTGTGGGTGCCAAGACATCAAACATTACAGAACAAGTAGCTTCTCGTTTCTGTATGTTTGGAAAACCCCAAAAATCGGTGGTATTGGTCTCTACGCCCACGTGGGAATCAAGCAATAATAGCTGCAGGGTTGACTGGTGGTCATGTTGGGAAGGAAATGCTGATGCTTCAGAGAAATTATGTCATGGCAAGATGCTTCCTGCACCCCCAGCAAAACCACATCAGGGGCTGCACCTCGTTCCTAGATTAAAGTGGAAGAATTGCTGCAGCGCTCACAGCTTGGAACATTCCATTGTGGGAGCAACAGGACAGCAGAATCAGGATCCACTGCATGAACTTTCATGCTTAAATTCATACTTTACTCGGTTTTTGAACATTTTCACCAAATGTGCTTGTTGACGTATCTTTTATTCTGTAATGCATCTTATTCTGTGTATATATGTTTGTTTGTTTTTTAATTTCATTTTTCAGTAGGGAATTGCATGCGGACTTGCATAGACGTCAGGCTCAAAGATAGGGTCCTTTTCGTTCAAACTACAAATTGAACAAAATCCTAGTCTGAGATCAAGAGGTGCCTTGCCACTAAGTTCAAACGTGGAACAGGTTGGACTTATCTACTCAACACAAGATAATGGAGAGAAGGCTCCAGACAGAGGCTAGAACAAACTACTGTAGGTTTGGCAAAGTCTCAGAGTTCAGTTGAGGGATCTCGGCAGCAAATCAAATGCTTGACTCCAGAAGTTCAAGGGGCAGTCCAGTGCCCCCCTTCCTTCAGTTTTTCCCCTCAGTAAACAATCCTATAAGATAGGGTGGGCTGAGAAAGAGTGAGTGTCTCAAAATCCCACATGCGCTTCCATGGCTGAGGGGGATTTGAACCTGGCTCTCCCAGTCTCAGTGCCAGAACCTAACCCTTCTTGTGTCTGTCAGTCAAGCTGCCAGTTTTTGCACGGATGTCTGCATTTATTGGTAATTATTGGGAAGCTGATGTCTCCCAGGCACTGACCAACCTGAGGCCTCCTTAGCCGGCTTTTTCCCCAGTTCAAAGGGATTGCTTTCAGTTCTTGCCAAACTGGTTTTCAGGGCTTGGCTGGAACAGAAAAAGGCAATGTGAGGATTTCCAGGCGGCTTGAAAAATGTTGTGGCTGCCTTTTGTTCCTGGTGTTCTGTAGGATGGAGAGAAACTTCTTCCGAAGACGTGAAGTCAGAAGAGGAGGAGGAGGAGGAGGAGGAGGAGGAGGAGGAACTTTTATTTATTTGAATTTATTAGCCGCCCAAAGAGACTTGAAAGTGTATGGATAATATAGTATCTTTGAGGGCAAAAAGGGGGAGCTTTTGTGTCCCACATTGCGTCTGGCTCTGCTCCTCCATGCGCAGCAGGAACAGAGTTATGCTTAATTTGTACAATTTATCCTCATTGCAGAAATCAGCTTTTCTTGCTGCAAAACTGATCTTCATTGCCAATAGAAAACCAGAGAACACAGACCTGATTATGTTGCACTTTACAGATAAGAAACTAGGGCTAAAATGCAGGATTATCCATCTACAGCAAAGGGTGGTTTTGGATTTCTAATTGCGCCGTCTCTCTGTAAAGATTCGCCAGACACAATCAGTTCATTCTTGGGTAAAGAGTTGCAGCTGGTCACTTCTCTCTTGGCTCTTGAGGTGCCCCTTGCTTATAATGATGGGATGTGTCCAGGAAGAAAGAGCCCTGCACAGCATCATTGACTGAGCCATGCGTGAATGTCTGTAGGAGAACAATAGGCTCCTAGTGTGCCCGCGTCTGCCTCAGGGAAACTGTTCACAGGAGTTCAATAAGGGTGTATGTGGGGCAGAGAGAAAGAGGCCTCTCTTTTGCGTGGTCCAAGTGGAAAGAAAAAACTACATGGTTCACGTATGAAAAAACACAGACCACATCATTTGCTGCTCCACGAGGCAGCACCACAAGTTCTGAAATGCCCAGAATCTCTTGCCATAACAAGGGATTGCTGGATCAAGCTAAGGATTCCCCAAGTCCAGAAAGAGGGGCTCTCCCAATGTTTTTCACTTAGCCATTGACATTCAAAGATAGAGTCCTTCTCTACAAGTGGCTTGTATTTAGCACGATGAGAGTGTTGTTGTTGTTGTTTAGTCATTAAGTCGTGTCCGACTCTTTGTGACCCCATGAACCATA